TGTAAATGCCTAACGTTAAGACCTAGATCGATGTTGAAATGAGTTAAAGAACTTCGTTGGATCGCGATGAATACAAATCACAGAAAAACGTAAGTTTGTGTCAGTGTTTTGGAGAGGCGTTTATTCAACATTGGATCGAAAGTAGCTGATGATGGGGATGGTCTGAGTAGTAATCACGTTCATTTTCAGTCATGCTTTGATATAGTGTCGTGCAGGTGTTGAATTCATTGTTGGAGTCCTTCTGGTGATTCTAAGACTATCAGAATATCGTCCGTAAATTACAGGTAAAGTTGTTCCCATCGTGCCCATTTATCTCCAGTTCCTGCTTTTCTCAATAGAGTGTATTTGCACTTCTTCATTGTATAACTTTGTTGATATTGTACCACACTGTTGAACGCCCTTTTCGATTTTGGACTTGTTTGTGTTTTCGGGCAGCTTCACAGGCAGCTGTACTATCCTTAGTCATGATCATGAGGTGTCTGTAACTTTCTTAGATTCCGTAGATCCTCAAGGATTCTTCAATATATAACGGACGTCGATTGAGTCGAAAACCCGCTCGAAATCGACGAACCCCGGGTAGAGAGGAAGTTGATATTCGTTGCATGTCTGAAATACTTAGAATGCCATCTGGAGATGATCTCTTGTATTAAATACACTTCTGAATCCTGTTTCGACTATGCAGCATCCAGTTTTTCTTAAAGTTTGTTGGTAAGTATGTTCCTGAAGATCTTAAATGCTGTTGGCAATAAAATGATAAACTTGTAAACTTTGAAATTTCCTTTGTGTACTTTTTGTGGAGTGGAATCACCGAAGTTTCTCTGTCTGCCCCCTTTATAAATTCTGGTTTGTATGCCCGTTTCAGAGAGCATGCATCTCCCAGAAGAAGGCATCCCACTGAAGGCTAAGTATGACGCATGAAATTTTCTGTAGATGTTGAGATTCATTACTAATCCTTAAATGGAAAACGAGAGAGGCAGTAACAGCAAGAGCTCGACAAACTTTTTTATGCATTTAAGGGAATTCCTTAACAGAGGGGGTTCTAAAGCTTGTCTTTGTCAGTCAGTGAATTTGGGCGAGATATCGGTGTTTGTGTGCAGTTAATTAAATTAAATTAAAAACTTTGTAGTTGATGGTATACGATATTCTCAGTTTCTGGACTGGACTGTGACTGTAGTGGCAAAAGTATATTAGTCCAAACAACAACATGTTATAACATTTGAAAATCTGCTAA